GCTCAAATGAAGCTTATGCTCAAAGTCAACCCAATCATGAGCCAATCATTATGCCACAAGGTCCAATCACAAGAGCTAGAGCTAAAAGACTACAAGAAAGGTTGAATGGTCACTTCCAAGCTAAGATGTTCACACTTGGTGAAGAGTTGCATCCCTTCAACCTTGAAAAGACATCTTGTCCTCCAAGAAACTTCATGAATCTAAAAATCCAGATTCATCCACATATTTAATTTATTATGTATTTTTCAAGGGTTGTGTCTTTTCATCCAAGGGTTGTGTCTTTTCATTATGTCTTTTGAATTACTATAAATAGGGATGTACATTTGCTTTTCAAACACAACATTTGATGAATGAAAACTTCAGATTGAGTTTAATCACTCTCAAGCTTTAAGCTTTCTTTGTATTCTTGTGTTTAGAATGCATGTTTAGAACTTTCAATCTAGTTTGATCAATTAGGTTGTGAAGAGTTTGAAATCTTGAATATAGGAACAAGTTCTCCTTTATTCTTGATCATTGATCATCTTTTCCAAGCACAAATATGTTTAGCTTTCTTGGGGTTGATTCATCATCTTGCTATTGGGGTTATTCTTATTATTGTTGTGGGGGTTCACCTTGTATAAGAGAGTTCTCATGCATAATTGAGTTAGTTCCTTTATCACATGGAGCACGTCCCAAGAGCCGAAAACAAGAAGGCCGATGCTCTGGCAAATCTAGAGGTCCTTCTAGGATCCTTGCAAACATTCACTAAAACGACTAACTTACCGAATGATTCCAACCAAGAGTAAGGTTAGAAGATGAATCACTCTTAAATCGGACTTAGAATCTACGATGGTCACTCCTAGATCCTAAGACGACTCACTCCAGAATTAGCTTGATCGAGACTAATCCAATGAATCGGTTTAACATCAAACCTAAAGCAAGATTTGAAAGAAGCAACACCAAAAGTGTTAAGGAACAAAAGTTCTTGAATTTCAATATGTTTAATCTTAAGTTCTCCATAACAAGAGCATTAGAAGCCTTTAAATAGGCCAAATGGTCAGTCAACATAAGAACACCAAAAGTTTTTCARAATACTACTTAATGCAAATTGTAGAAAATAACACATGCAAATTAAAACTTGATTGCACATCATTCTAGACACTTAAATGCAGACCAGAAAACGTAGTCACGCTTCAAATGGTCTTGTCTATGTGCTGTAGGAGGCGCTTCACATTTGGATGACATTTGACAAGCTTTGACTTCACAAACTCCCAAGGGGTGCAATCTGCCAAGGCACCTATTCACAATTATGCACACATTTTTTGTCCTCCGTGCCATCTCTCAAAATAGACAATTTTTCCCATGCCATCTTTGCTTCATTCTCTTCTTGACTCATTGAAGTAACATTATGAATAAATTTGGGCTCAAAACTCTTTGTTGATTATTGTGCATTAACAAGCTTTTGAAGGTGCAGTGTAAAAGCCTCTTGAATCTTCCTTGCCTTTCTTGTAATAATTGCTCCTTTGATATATGTAATTGGTCACAAATGGATTCGTATCACCTGACCACCATGAATACGAAGGTTCCGCTCCCGCCAAAGGAGAGAGACAGTCGAAGTTCAAGCTAACCGCCACACATGCCGCCGAGTAGACGACCCAGCACTACCATGACAAATCCAAGTAAGCTCAGTAGACCAATATGAAACCCGATGAGACGAACCTGCCCACGAAATCATACCAACCAAAACTGCTCGACTATAAGGGCAATCAAAAAACAGATGATCCCTAGACTCCAAACCAGCACAAAAAACACAAGTAGCAGGCACCAACGCATTCCACTGGCGAAGACGATCACGCATAGATAGGCGATCACGAATTGCCAACCAAGAAATAAACGAATGTTTAGGAATATTCCCACCAAACCATAACAAGGAAAAATACGAGCGAAGTAGACGCTCCACCTCATGCACCATTCGGGCTGGAAGAATAAAGACACTGGCCCAGTAAACGTGGAAACTCTGAAGCACCGAGCGAATGAGCTGCAAACGACCAGCAAAAGAAAGCACACGAGTCGACCAACTCCGAATACGAGCACTAATCTTCTCCAACAAAGGCTTACAATCTCGAAAAGACAACCGACGAGAAAGGAGCGGAACACCAAGATACCGCACCGGGAGAGTTGCCACCGAAAACCCCAAGAAAGAAGCCAACCCCTGCACCTCCTCAAGAGGAAGACCGGCCCCAAAAAAAGAGCTCTTACGAGTATTAGCAACAAGACCCGACAACGCCTCAAACTCCACCAAAGAATCCCGAATAAAGGAAAGAGAACCAACATCCCCATGCGAAAAGATCATTAAGTCATCCGCAAAACACAGGTGAGTCAAACCAATCCGATCACACCTCGGATGATATCAAAACCCCGCCGGAGGTCGATTAAGCATACGCGACAACACTTCCATGACCATAACAAAAAGATAAGGGGAAAGAGGATCCCCTTGACGTAAACCACAATGACCAGGAAAATAACCCTCAAGCGAACCATTCAGAGAAATGGAGAACATAGGAGACGTAACACAAGCCTGGATCCAATTAACAAACCGAACCGGGATCCCAATGGCCAATAACAGGCCAAGCAGGAAATCCCAACGCACCGAGTCATACGCCTTCTGAAGATCCACCTTAAGCACACAACGAAGGATACCTTTATTAAGATGATACCCCCCAACAAGCTCCTGACAAAGCAAAATATTGTCCACAATACGACGTCCGGGCACAAAAGCAGATGCCCCTTGTCTCGTACTTCACATGTGAACGGTATTGGTCATGGATGTATTTGGAAGTGAAGTTGAAATGATGTTTCTTATATAGCCCCCTTGTGTCGTACTTCACATGTGAACGGTATTGGCTCATTTGAGAAGCAACCTTTGGATCTTGCTTTTCAATAAGCATTTTGACTTCTTGCAAGAACTCAAAAGAAAAGCTTGGCACACTTGGCCTAAGTGGACCCGTTAGAAAGTAAGTCCTTTCATTTACAAGTTCTTGTATGTGTCGTTTTGAAAACAAGACGATGTTATCCTTACAAACTCTTGTAACCAAACTCTTTTCAACATCAATCTCCATACAATCTTCTATCATGTTTGTCGCATACTCCTCATGTTTGTTACTCCTTGACTCAAGTTGACATGAATCAATAGAGATTTCCACACTTTCTTTACTGGTTTCCACAACTTGTGTAATGACCTCACAATTGGAAACTTCAACNAAATCGAAACACCGCCGGAGGTCGATTAAGCATACGCGACAACACTTCCATAGCCATAACAAAAAGATAAGGGGAAAGAGGATCCCCTTGACGTAGACCACGACGACCAGGAAAATAACCCTCAAGCGAACCATTCAGAGAAACGGAGAACATAGGAGACGTAATGATAAGAAAACAATAGCCAATTGGATCTAAGAACCCTTATGGTTATGCAAACCCCTAGATCACAAATGCTAAAACCCCCAAATCGAGATGATGTCAACCCACAGAAGAAGTTAGAACGGATTTACCTTGATGATCAATATCAAGAGTAGAGAAAACTTGTTTCTAAACTCAAGATTCGAACCACTCCACAAGATAGCTTGATCATGGCTACTTGAATGACTCTAACAAGCTCTAGGCTTTTGAAGCAAAAATATCAACTTTCATTCAACATCCAAAATCTGTCTTTCAAAGGAAACAAACTAGGCTATTTATAGCCTCCAAAACAACCCTAAAAGTAACCTAAAGGCATTTGAAAGGTTGTAACTCCCAATTACATGATGACCATAACATCCACTAGCTAAAATGTAACTTAAAACACATAAATGAAATGTTTAAAACTGAAAATATAATAAAAAAAGGTTTAAATCCGAGAATTGAAGTCTTGGTCACCTTTCAAAGTCTTTGTAACCTCCCAATTATAAATGAAGCTTCACTTAAAGTAGTTAGAAGTGTAGTTCCATTAATTGATGGATGACTTGCAATAAATGAAGCTTGAGATGCACTTAAGTTCATTTAATGCAACTTGAGTTCCTTGAATTGAACTTGGCTTTATTGAATGCAACTTGAGTTAAACTCCACTTCAACTTCAGCTCCATTAAATGAACTTAGAGTTCATTTAATGCAATGCCTCCCTTAAGCTCGACTTGGAAGATATTCACTTGAAAAGTTCCATCTCTCTCTTGATGATCCCTAGCCGAGCTCACCAAGTATTGAACATGAGAAAGTAAAGCTTGTTGTAGCTTCTTGGCTCTTGATCTCGTTATGGGTCCTTGAGGCATGACAATGGTGCTTCCTTGGTTCACATCACGTAACACAAGCCCGAATCCAATTAACAAACCGAACTGGGGTCCCAATGGCAAGTAACAGACCAAACAGGGAATCCCAATGCACCGAGTCATACGCCTTCTGAAGATCTACCTTAGGCACACAACGAGGCATACCCTTCTTAAGATGATACCCCCCAACAAGCTCCTGACAGAGCAAAATATTGTCCACAATACGACGTCCGGGCACAAAAGCAGATTGATTCTTACTAATAAACCTAGGGAGCCAGACTTTCAACCGGTTAGCTAAAAGCTTCGTAATGCACTTATACAACACATTACAGCATGAGATAGGGCGGAAATCCCCTAACCCCGAAGGATTGGGGATCTTAAGGATCAAAGTAAGCGACGTAGCATTCACCCCAGAAGGCATATAGAAAGTATCAAAGAAATGCAACACCGCCTTACAAAAGTCATCGCCAACAATACTCCAAGCCGCCTTAAAGAAGCCCACTGAGAACCCATCCGAACCAGGAGCCTTACCACTATTCATCGAAAACAACACCTCCCGCACCTCCAGAGAAGTAACAGGACAACACAACTCCACTCCACACTCAGGAGGCCACACAAAATCCACAATAGCAGCCAAACGAGCAGTAAGATCACGATAACCTACACACTCAGACCCCAACAACCGACGATAAAAACCAACCGTCAGTCGAGCAATCTCAGCGCGATCAGTAACAACCCGACCTACATCATCAGTCAAAGAGGCAAGATCATTCCAAATCCGGCCGCGAACACTGCGGTGGAAAAAAGCAGAGTTATGGTCTCCCAAAGAAAGCCACCAGACCCGGGACTTCTGTCGCAACGAAGCCTCCTCCATCACAGTCCAGTCCCAGAAATCACGAGAGGCGACCCTCTCCTCCTCCTGAGCACCTATCGAAGAAGGGTCACTCAAAAGTAAAGCCTGAGCAGCAAGCATAAGAGCACGCGCCTCCTGCACACCCTTCTGGATAGTATCAATATGATGACCGAAACGATGCAACACAGGCTTCAAAGCACGAAGATTCATACCAAAACTCAGAAGAGGCGAAACCTGAGAATGAACCTGCCACGTGTCCCGAACAACTGAGAAGAACAGGGGATCAAAAGCCCAATAGTCAAAGAACCGAAAAGACGGGCGGCACCTAGGCACCACAACACCAACAAGAAAAACAAGAGGGCAATGATCAGAGACACCCCACTCGCGAACTTGAACCTCAAAAACAGGCATGGAACCAAACCAAGCGGAATTGACCAAAACATGATCAAGGCGCTTGAGAATAAGACCATCCCCCAAATGCTTATTTGTCCAAGTAAACCAAGAACCAGAAACACGAGGCTCCACCAAATCGGCCTATAACAAAACATCATCAAAACGCTCCATATCAGTCAAAACAGGACCACCACCCAGCACCTCAGACGAAAGCCGAATAGCATTAAAATCACCCATCACCACACCAGGACCAGACCAAGCCGAACAAATGGASACTAGAGAGTCCCACAACAGAGCCTGCTCAGAGGTGAAATTAGAAGCATAAACACAAAGAACCTGCACCGAAAGCTGAGAAACTCGATCAAAACCAACACCATGCACAAACTGATCAGAAATAGTAATCGGGGAGAAATCATAACGTCCTGGGCGCCAGAACACCCAAATCCTACCAACACCAGAAGAAGAGTAACTGCTGACGCACTGCCAGTGCACCTGGAA